GTGCTGTGAGCGCACTGGTCATCCCTATATAGGATCCGAACCCGCGGCGGGAGCGCTGCTGGCGCTCCCAGCGCCACACTCTCCCTAGTGTGCCACAGGCTCGGCCCAGAGTTATATTTTTAAAGATCACCCTGGCTGCTCTTTGGAGAACAGACTGCTGGGAGCAAGGGTGGAATGTGGGAGATCAGTGAGGCACTACTGTAATTTTCCAGGACAAAAGTGATGGTGACTTGGCTAAAATGGTAACAGTGGAAAGGTGAGAAATGCTTGAATTCTAGATAGATTTAAAAGGTAGCGTTTTGGATTTGCTGGGTTGAAGGGTGTAAAAAAGAAGAGTAAAGGATGACAGCAAGATTGTTGGCCTGAGCAGCTGAAAGAACACAGTTGCCCTTAACTGGGAAGGAGAAGAGTCGACATTGTTTGAAGGGACTTTTGAAGGTGACCTTGACCACCCACTTGCCTTTAGTTAGAATACTTTAATTCTGTTTCCTCCTTTATCCCTGTTTTACTTTTCTAAAGATATTTAGAATTAGATACAAGTAGAAGTAGAATAGAAATAGAAGGAAATCCTGCCATTTCCGACAGCATAGATGGACCTGGAGGATAATGTGCTAAGTTAAATAAGCCAGGCACAGAAAAACAAGTGCCACATGATCTCATGTATATGTAGGATCTAAGAAAGTTGAATTCAGAGAAAACAGAGTAGAGGTAGTTGCCATGGGCTGGGGTGTAGAAGAAATGGGGAGATGTTGGTCGAAGGTACAAACTTTAGTTATAAGATGATTAATCCCCATACTGGCCAGCTACAAAAAAAACAAAAACAAAAAACCCCACAAATTTCCAGCTTAAGCACCACTTAAATGACCTGGGGGTTTCTAGGTGTGCCCTGAGGGAGAGTCTTGTTTGTGGGGAGGAGGAGTCAGGGAGAAATTGGTAAAGGGACACAAAAAAAGTTCACATTGTACAATGATAGAATAAAAAAATTTTTAAATAGGTGATTAAGTTCTGGAGACCTAATGCACAGCAATGTGACTATGGTTAATAATACTGCATTATATTCTTGAAATTTGCTAAGAGAGTAGATCTTAATATTTTCACCACAAAAAAATGGCGACTGTGTGAGGTGATGGGTATGCTATTAACTGATCGTGGCAATCATTTCACAATGTATATGTATATCAAAACATCATGTTGTATACCTTAAATATATGTAATTATTTTTCAAATATACCTCAAAAAGCTGAAAAAAAATTTGTAGAATTAGGGTGATAGTTTCTACTTAAATTTGTTTCTACATACACTCTGGTATGTGTGCATTTCTGACTTTCTCTTTATTTTTTGTAGATAGCCAAGTGTTCTCATGGGGAAAGAACAGTCAAGGTCAGCTGGGCCTGGGGGAGAAGGTCCCCTCCCAAGCCACCCCACAGAGGGTGAGGTCCCTGGAGGGGATTCCTCTGGCTCAGGTAGCTGCAGGAGGGGCTCACAGCTTTGCCCTGTCTCTCTTGGGGACTTCATATGGCTGGGGAAGCAACAATGCAGGGCAGCTGGCCCTCAGTGGGAATGACATCCCAGGTAAGTAGACAGTCTTGTTCTCACAGTAAATCATTCTTTCTTTCCATTTGGAAGACCAACTTGGCAAAAGGCAGTCTCAAAAAGTTAAAACAGTGGTTCCAAAACTTGTGACACATTAGAATTACCTGGAGAGCTGTATTAGTGTCCTGTTGCTGCTGTAACAAATTACTACAAACTTAATGGCTTAAAACAACACAAATTTATTATCTTATAGTTCTGGAGGCCAGAAGTATGACAGGGCCTCACTGGGCTAAAGTGAAGGTGTCAACGGGACTGCCTTCCTTTCTGGAGGCCCTGGGAGAGAATCCATTCCCTGGCCTTTCCAGCCTCTAGAGGCCCCCACATTAATTGACTGATAGTCCTCATTCTTCTTCAAAGCTAGCAATGGCTGGCTAAGCTTTCTCAAGCCACTTTACTTTGACATTGACTCTTCTGCCTCCTCCTTCCTCAGTTAGAGGACCCTTGTGATTCCACTGGGCCTACCTGGATAATCTAGGCTAATCTCCCTACTTTAAGGTCAACTGATTAGCAACTTTAATTCCATTTGCTTCCTTAACTCCCCTTTGCCATGTCCCCTAACATATTCACAGGCTCTGGGATTAGGAAGTGGGAAGCCATTATTCTTTGTGAGGCCATTATTCTGTCTACTGTAGGATCATTTAAAAATCCCTATGCCCAGGTCAGACCCCATATCAATTAAATCAGAATGTCTGGGAGTGAAAGCCAGTCATCAGTTGTTATTGAAGATCCCACAGTTGATTCTATTGTGCAGCAAAGTTTGTGAACCACTGGGTTAGGAGACTGCTAGCATTAGGGGAAGCAACCAGTTTCCTCTAGACAAAAGAAAACTTCTTTAAACAACCAGTTTCTCTAAAAACAAAATTCACCAAGAAGTCTTCTTCATGATCTGTCCTCCTCTGTTCAATTCTTTACACTCAGCTAACATATATTTAGCATCTATTATGTGTCAGTACCATGCTGAGCACTTACATCTCATTTCATTTAACCATCTCAGCATGAGGTAGGTTTTCTTAGAATCTTAATTATTATAATATATTTGCAGAGCACCTACTGTGTGACAGATATGTGTAAAACTTGTCAGAAACAAAATGGGGTCACATATGTCAAGCCCTAATAAAATGGAGTCAAGAGGCCGTGAAGGGAGGGAGGGTCCTCATGCATATTTGCCTGATAACAAGAACTATTATAAAAGATTCTGCCAAACCTCTAACCGTGAAGTTAAGGCAACTTCTAGGAGGACATCTTTCCAGTATCAGCCAGTCCTAACTGCAGTCTTGCAAGCAGCCTAACTAAACCGCACTCACAGTTGCAATCACAGTCCCTTCTATGAAGACCCTCTCCTAGCAACAGCTAGTACACACGTGACTGCCTGCGATAAGCCCTTATAACCAATGAACTTTTGTTTAAAAACAACCTACATGTACTTCTTTTTGCCCTTAATAGTGTCCCCTTGCCTCAACCTCTCCAGATATGACCATGGTCCACCATGGCACACATATTCCAGGTTGCAATCCCCCTATTATTCATTCCCGAGTAAACTTCTTTGGAGGTCCTTTCTCTCTGTTGTTATTTTAGGTTGACAAATGAATACAACGTAACGACAATATTATTGGGGATGAGGGTCTAGAAGCTTAGCTTTCTAAGAAGTCAATAGCCTCAAGCATTCTAGAAGATTAAATAGCTTCCAGAAATAAATGTTAAAGGACTGTTGTTTTTCCTTTTCCAAAGCAGGATTTTCCTTCTGTTTTATACTTCTGATTTTTCACTTAAAAATTATGTTAATGAATTATAAGATAATAAATATATAAAAGATATAAAAAGATATAGAATATAAACAGGTAACTATAAAACTCATGAAATCTGAATCTATTTCTTATACTCTAGAAATTCTGCTTTCTTTCAACAGTGCAAAAATACAAGCCTTGTGCAGTTGGTGCACTGAAGGATCTGGGTGTGATTTATATCAGCTGTGGTTATGAGCACACTGCAGTGCTTACCCAGGTAATCCAAAATGTGTTTCTATTTTTTTAAATCCCAGAGAAATGTTAACAAGGCACATGTACTGATTATTGTTGAAAGGAAGATGTCTTAGTCAATTTGGGCTGCTATAAAAAGATAGTATAAACTGGGTGGCTTATAAATGACAGAAATTTATTTCTCATAGTTCTGGAGGCTGGGAAGGCCAGGATCAAGGTACCAGCAGATTTAGTGTTTGATGAGGGCCAACTTTCTGGATCAAAGACTGTATTTTTGCTGTGTCCATACATGGTGGAAGATGTAAGGGGTTCTTCTTGGGCCACTTTATAAGGGCACTAATCCCTTTATTGAGGGTGCCACCCTCATGACCTAATCGTCTACCAAAGGCCCATCTCGTAATACCATAACTTTGGGGGTTAGAATTTCAACATATGAATTGTGGGGGGACACAAACATTTAGACTATAGCAGAAGATATTTATGACTATCTAGATATATCCATTCAATGTACAAATATCTAAAGAGGAGAAGTGAACAAAATATAAATAATGTGTTTTTCAAGGTCCTATAATGAAAGCTAAATTCAGCTTTAGGAAATATTTTTAGGTACCAACTAAATTAGATTAATATAGGAGCTAATCTTTTTAGCAATTATTGACAATGTAGGTCTACAGAGAAAAACTGTTATTGAAGCAATAAAGTAATTTTTACAGTTTTCAATAACCCACTTTACGGACTAGAACATACTTTGTTCTATTTCTTGCTCAGCACAATTATAACTTAGCTTCCTGAATGTTTTCCTTCCCTTCTTGTCCTGGCCATGCAATATATTCCAATGGATGGAGTCTTTCCATAGCCATAAGGAATAAACTTCAAAATTGTTTGTGTGACTGAAGTGTTTATTTAAAAACTATATACCCCAAATGATTTTTATTGTTTATTTTAGAAGCATGTCTTAAATTATGAAACTCTCAATTGTTTGGATTATATGAGTATTATTCTTAGTTGACAAGGAAAAGCTAGAACTGTTTTTTTGCTTGCCTTTTTTTTTTTTTTTGGCGGCTGGCCATATGGAGATCTGAACCTGTGACCCTGGTGTTATAACACTGCACTCTAACCAACTGAGCTAACTGGCAAGCCTTTTAAAATTTTTTAGAGTTTTTTTTAATCATAAAAGAATTTTTTGAAAATTAAGTATTTTCAGGAAAATGCTCAAATTAAATAAAGCAGCTCTATATTTAAATGTTGGTGTTACTCTTGAACCACTTATTTGTCTATTTATTCATTTGTTAATTCAACAAACACTTATTAAGGGGCTAGCTCTGTTTTCCCCCAGCTTCATTGTGGTATAGTTGACAAAAATTGTATCATTTATTAATATGATGTTTTTTTTACATGTATACATTGTGAAATGATTACCACAAACAAGCTAATGAACAGATGTGTCACCTCACATAGTTATCTTTTTNTGCTAGCATTAGGGGAAGCAACCAGTTTCCTCTAGACAAAAGAAAACTTCTTTAAACAACCAGTTTCTCTAAAAACAAAATTCACCAAGAAGTCTTCTTCATGATCTGTCCTCCTCTGTTCAATTCTTTACACTCAGCTAACATATATTTAGCATCTATTATGTGTCAGTACCATGCTGAGCACTTACATCTCATTTCATTTAACCATCTCAGCATGAGGTAGGTTTTCTTAGAATCTTAATTATTATATTTGCAGAGCACCTACTGTGTGACAGATATGTGTAAAACTTGTCAGAAACAAAATGGGGTCACATATGTCAAGCCCTAATAAAATGGAGTCAAGAGGCCGTGAAGGGAGGGAGGGTCCTCATGCATATTTGCCTGATAACAAGAACTATTATAAAAGATTCTGCCAAACCTCTAACCGTGAAGTTAAGGCAACTTCTAGGAGGACATCTTTCCAGTATCAGCCAGTCCTAACTGCAGTCTTGCAAGCAGCCTTACTAAACCGCACTGTTGCAATCACAGTCCCTTCTATGAAGACCCTCTCCTAGCAACAGCTAGTACACACGTGACTAACTAAACCGCACTCACAGTTGCAATCACAGTCCCTTCTATGAAGACCCTCTCCTAGCAACAGCTAGTACACACGTGACTGCCTGCGATAAGCCCTTATAACCAATGAACTTTTGTTTAAAAACAACCTACATGTACTTCTTTTTGCCCTTAATAGTGTCCCCTTGCCTCAACCTCTCCAGATATGACCATGGTCCACCATGGCACACATATTCCAGGTTGCAATCCCCCTATTATTCATTCCCGAGTAAACTTCTTTGGAGGTCCTTTCTCTCTGTTGTTATTTTAGGTTGACAAATGAATACAACGTAACGACAATATTATTGGGGATGAGGGTCTAGAAGCTTAGCTTTCTAAGAAGTCAATAGCCTCAAGCATTCTAGAAGATTAAATAGCTTCCAGAAATAAATGTTAAAGGACTGTTGTTTTTCCTTTTCCAAAGCAGGATTTTCCTTCTGTTTTATACTTCTGATTTTTCACTTAAAAATTATGTTAATGAATTATAAGATAATAAATATATAAAAGATATAAAAAGATATAGAATATAAACAGGTAACTATAAAACTCATGAAATCTGAATCTATTTCTTATACTCTAGAAATTCTGCTTTCTTTCAACAGTGCAAAAATACAAGCCTTGTGCAGTTGGTGCACTGAAGGATCTGGGTGTGATTTATATCAGCTGTGGTTATGAGCACACTGCAGTGCTTACCCAGGTAATCCAAAATGTGTTTCTATTTTTTTAAATCCCAGAGAAATGTTAACAAGGCACATGTACTGATTATTGTTGAAAGGAAGATGTCTTAGTCAATTTGGGCTGCTATAAAAAGATAGTATAAACTGGGTGGCTTATAAATGACAGAAATTTATTTCTCATAGTTCTGGAGGCTGGGAAGGCCAGGATCAAGGTACCAGCAGATTTAGTGTTTGATGAGGGCCAACTTTCTGGATCAAAGACTGTATTTTTGCTGTGTCCATACATGGTGGAAGATGTAAGGGGTTCTTCTTGGGCCACTTTATAAGGGCACTAATCCCTTTATTGAGGGTGCCACCCTCATGACCTAATCGTCTACCAAAGGCCCATCTCGTAATACCATAACTTTGGGGGTTAGAATTTCAACATATGAATTGTGGGGGGACACAAACATTTAGACTATAGCAGAAGATATTTATGACTATCTAGATATATCCATTCAATGTACAAATATCTAAAGAGGAGAAGTGAACAAAATATAAATAATGTGTTTTTCAAGGTCCTATAATGAAAGCTAAATTCAGCTTTAGGAAATATTTTTAGGTACCAACTAAATTAGATTAATATAGGAGCTAATCTTTTTAGCAATTATTGACAATGTAGGTCTACAGAGAAAAACTGTTATTGAAGCAATAAAGTAATTTTTACAGTTTTCAATAACCCACTTTACGGACTAGAACATACTTTGTTCTATTTCTTGCTCAGCACAATTATAACTTAGCTTCCTGAATGTTTTCCTTCCCTTCTTGTCCTGGCCATGCAATATATTCCAATGGATGGAGTCTTTCCATAGCCATAAGGAATAAACTTCAAAATTGTTTGTGTGACTGAAGTGTTTATTTAAAAACTATATACCCCAAATGATTTTTATTGTTTATTTTAGAAGCATGTCTTAAATTATGAAACTCTCAATTGTTTGGATTATATGAGTATTATTCTTAGTTGACAAGGAAAAGCTAGAACTGTTTTTTTGCTTGCCTTTTTTTTTTTTTTTGGCGGCTGGCCATATGGAGATCTGAACCTGTGACCCTGGTGTTATAACACTGCACTCTAACCAACTGAGCTAACTGGCAAGCCTTTTAAAATTTTTTAGAGTTTTTTTTAATCATAAAAGAATTTTTTGAAAATTAAGTATTTTCAGGAAAATGCTCAAATTAAATAAAGCAGCTCTATATTTAAATGTTGGTGTTACTCTTGAACCACTTATTTGTCTATTTATTCATTTGTTAATTCAACAAACACTTATTAAGGGGCTAGCTCTGTTTTCCCCCAGCTTCATTGTGGTATAGTTGACAAAAATTGTATCATTTATTAATATGATGTTTTTTTTACATCATTTATTAATATGATGTTTTTTTTACATGTATACATTGTGAAATGATTACCACAAACAAGCTAATGAACTATTTATGGTGTACAATATGATGTTTTTTTTACATGTATACATTGTGAAATGATTACCACAAACAAGCTAATGAACAGATGTGTCACCTCACATAGTTATCTTTTTGTCAGATGTGTCACCTCACATAGTTATCTTTTTGTGTGTGTGGTGAGAATCTTTATGATTTACTCTCTTAGCATTTTCAAGTATGTTCCACATTATTATTAACTACAATCACCATGCCATACAATACATCTTCAAGGTGCCTACTGTTTAAGGGAATGCCAATGATTTTTCCTGTTTTATATGTTAACTCTACATTCACCAGTAGAAATAATAAAGGATGCCTCCTATTTATATAGAGCTTATAGTTCACAAAGTGCTCTCATATTATTAATTCTCTTATGATACTTAATCTGTAAGTATTTAGTTACTGTTTTAACCTGAAATTAATTTGATTTCTCCTGTTTTAAACAGGGCGGGAGAGTGTTCACATTTGGGGACAATAGCTCTGGACAGCTGGGACACAGTCTCACTGCTGAGAAGAAAGGTCCACAACTCGTGGAAGGAATCGATGGCCTAGTTTCACAGATAGATTGTGGAAGGTAATAGGCTTTTTTTTTTTTTTAGCCCATGGGTAGAAAGTGTTGTATATCATTACTTAGAAACAACTCTAATGGAATGTCATCAAACCTTAAAACTCTGTAATATGTGGCTGCTCTTTATATAGAGCATTTTCATTTCAGAAAATGTACTGCTTTCAAATATAGTTTAATTTTTCAGTTTTTTCTTCTTTATCCTAGACATTTTATTTATTCAATAAGAAATTATTGGAAGTCAACTATGTATAGACCAACTTATTAGGTACTGGAGGATGGGGGCATGGGTTGATACAAAAATGCTGGTGCTTGTCTGCTTTGAGTTGATAAGACAAAATTAAAGTAATCTCATGCATGTAGAAGATGATGGATATTTGCATACGTATTTAGGGTTTTGCATAACCTAATTATGAGGAAACTTTGAGTATCTGAGTATCAAATGATTAAACAATAAAAGACAAAAATGCTTGCATTTAGTTCAGATCCCTGTACTGGCCAGCTGCCAAAAAAAAAAGGTTGCATTTAAAACAAAATGATAGAAACCATAGCAAAGATGCATCAATAATATTCTCTTTAAAGTTAAAAGTAAGTCAATATTCACTCAGCATCTGTTGAGCCACATCCTCTCACACCGACATTATAATAAGGGAGTTGGGTACTTAGTGAAAGTAAATCTGTTATTCTGTGTTGAGACATCATCTTTCTTGAAAACCATGAGTACCGTGGTCTTCATTACAGTGTACTCTCTCTCCTAGTTATCACACCCTTGCATATGTGTACACCACTGGTCGGGTGGTGTCATTTGGTCGTGGACCAAGTTGCACAGTCAACCCAACTCATCTGGAGGCCCTGACAGAGAACTTTGACATCAGCTGCCTGATTTCTGCTGATGGTATGAGTAGTCCCACTAATGATTTTGTATTAATTGATGCCACTGGAGGGGAAATATTATTCAGCTTCCTTTCCAAGAAGTCCATAGAACTATAGTTCTTCCAGTATATTTATTTTAAATTGTACATTGTGCATTTTTTTCTTATGCAGTGATTCCTGGAATATTTTGTATTTATTTCTAAAGATTAAGGTAATACAAAAGAAGGTCCTAAACTGGTTACTTAAGCATCAGAACACGTATTGAATCAAACCTCTTCTAAAGCATGTCAACCTGACTTCATTGTGCAAATGCATGAAAATCTAAATTTTAAACTAAATGAATATATGACTTGTAATCTGATAAAAATTAATCTTTTATCCTGTTTGTAGTCAAAATACATTTAGAAGAGTATAAATTGCCAATAAATAAATAAATTTGGCTTGGTGATATATCAAATTTATTTTTTACTTCTAAAAACTCTAAGCATGGATTTATTTTTTACTTCTAAAAACTCTTAAGTATGGATTTATGACTTTCTTTTAGACCTTGTGGATGTTCAAGTCAAACACATTTTTGCGGGAACATATGCCAACTTTGTGACAACTTATCAGGTATTTGTTACACTTTCTGTTTCTTTTAAAAAATCATTTTTTGGAAATAACAAATCTAGGTTATTAGAAGTGGGGGAGAGGGAAAAGGGGGTTGAGAGATTGAGTAAGGGAAAAATAAATTAATGAATTAATTAAAAAATAAAAATCATTTTTTCCTCTACATTGCATTGCAGAGTAGTATTTGAAACATTGTATTAGTCATATGTATATAAATTTCTTATTAAAATAATAAGGTCCTCTATTAGAATGCATTTGAAAAATATATAATTCTCACTTCCTCATTTGTCAAACTTCCTAACACATGAGACTCCCCCAAACTCAAATTCATTGCTTTTGTACTGACTTTTTATTAGTAAGTAATAATATTAATGATAATAACAGCTGTAAAGACTAATCTTAATTTCAGTCACCATGTGTCAGGAACCAATCAAAGTACTTCAGATGGATCAACATGTTTAATGCATAAATCAACTCCAGTTGATATTATTTCTACCATTTTACAGATGGGAAAACTGGGTCTCAGAAAGGTGAATTTACCCAAAGTTGCACTGTTAATGAGTGGTAGAGCTGATTCAATCCCAGGCACTCTGGCCCCAAGGCTTAACCCTTCCCCACCATGCTACAGTGCCTTCCTAATTGTTAACAGAGGGGATTTTATTGTTATATTTCTGGATGAGTTCTGAAATGTTTCCATGGAAAGAAAAGCAAGCATACTTATTTTCCCAATTTGTACTTTTTTCTATTATCAGGAATGTTTTTTTTTTTTTTTTCCTTTATGTCTTTTTTCGTGACCGGCAACGGGATCGCAACCCTCGGTGTTGCGCCCGCACCTCGCTCAGCCAGTGAGCGGCCGGTCTGTATGTGGGATCCAAACCCTCGGCGGGAGCGCCACCACGCTCCCAAGCGGCGCACTGTAGCAGTGTGCCACCGGGCCGGCCCCAGGAATGTTTTAAACTGGATGTCAGTACAGACTCTTTCTCTATTTCTTGGGACAGAAAACAGTCAGAGGCAAAGGTTACTGTGCTATTGGGGATAGTTAGGAAATTATGCTTTGGTTGCTTTGTCATAGCCATTCAATAAGCCAGTAAACAAAAACTGAATGCTTTTCATGTGTCAGACTCTGCTCTTGGTGCTTGGGACAGACGTGCATAGTACAGACAAAGTTGTCCTCATTCATAGCGTTTGGACTCTACAGGGAGTGCTGGACCATAAACATGTAAATGCAGAGTCAGTAATATTGTGTTAGAGAATGACAAGTGCTCTGGAGAAAACCAAACAGGCTGTTGGAGATTGATGAGGGGGGTTTCTTTAGAAATGTCTGTCAGGGAAGGCCTTGTAGAGGCTGTGACATTTGAACAGAGATACCGGCTATGCTTAGATCCAAAGAAAGAGCACTCAAGCCAGAGGGAAGTGCATCTAGAAGGGCCCTGGGGGCAGGAATAAGTTTGTGTGTGTGACAGAAAGAAGGCCAGTGTGGCTGAACATTGGAAGAAAGAATGAACCATTGCATGAGATGGAGCCAGTGATGGAAGATGGAGTGAGTTCGAAATGTCCCCAGAGAAGAGATCCAGAGACTTGGTTGGACATCCAAATCTGGAGCTCATGGGGGCATGTCAGCAGTGGAATATAACATGGTAGTTATCCTGCTGTAGATGGTATTTATAGCCAAGGGCCTGCGTGAAAGTTCACCTAGAGAGACAGAGTAAAAATGACAGGAGAACGGGGACAAAATCAAGCCTTGACTTCTCCATGACAGCCAGAAAAGGAGACTGAGAAGGACCAGTTTCTGAAGTAGGGGAAAATCAGGAGAGGCTCTCTCAAGCCAAAAAAAGAAAGTATTTCTAGAAGGAGGAAGTGGGCAGTCCTGTCAAATACGGCTGAGAGGTCAAGTAAGAGGAGCCCAGAGAGTTTATTTTTGCTTTGGTAAGATTGTGTTGTTTCAGCAGAGAGAGGATGAAACCCAACAATGACTGTGACAACTCAGAAGTTTTGATGTGAAGGGGACGGAGAGCCATGGGAAGGTTTCTCCTGATGCATGAGAAAGAGTGAATAATTGCAGAAGCTGCATCCCAGAATAGGAGAGAGGAAGCGGGATCCAGCACTGAGTTGAGAGGCTTGAGCAGAAATGTTTACCCCTTGTAATAAGGAACAGTGCACCTGAGTGTAGGTGGGAATGTGATTAGTTCCTGCCTGATCGCTTCAGTTTTCTCAGTGATGCAGAGGCAAGGTCCTCATCAGAGCTTGAGAGAAGCAGAGGAGCGTGACGGGTTTAGGAGGAAAAGGAAGGTGTGCAACAGTTGTCTCAGAGAGTAGGATAGCAGAGGTCCTAGGAAATGACTAGACAGTATCGAACGCCCATTTGAAATCTGTGGTCATAGATTAAAGTGAAGTCAGCACAGTTGTGCAATTTTCTCTAGTGATGTTAGGTTGCTTGGATTTGATTTTGGAGTAATTCAGAGTTGAGTTTAACTACAGATGGAATTTTGCTAGGTAAGTACTATGGGAAAGCTACAAAAGGGTTATGGGAACGATTATAGTGCTGAACCATGGAATGTCAGCTGGGTAAGGAAGACATGAGGAGGGCGATGCATAATGAACAAACAATAGTGTTAACGGATTGGAGATCCCAAGCATCAAAGAATGTAAGACTGGGGGTTTCATTGTAAAGGAAGTGAAACAGAATGATGGTGTATGATGGTCAGAGAAGAATGTTTCCAATAGAAATTCAAAAGGTGGAACAAGAGCTGATGGTTATAAAGTCCAGCTTATCACCTATACCTAGGGCAGTGGTTTTCAACTAGGAGTGATTTTGTACCCCAGGAAACATTTGGCAATTTGGTGGAATCGGGGGGAGGGGTGTTTTCTGGGAGTGGATGATACTGGCATCTGGTGGGTGGAGTCCAGGGAAGCTGCTAAACCTCCGACAATGCACAGGACAGCCCCTCACAACAAAGAATTATCTGACCCAAAATGTTGATAGTGTCATGGTGTTTTCTGGGAGTGGATGATACTGGCATCTGGTGGGTGGAGTCTAGGGAAGCTGCTAAACCTCCAACAATGCACAGGACAGCCCCTCACAACAAAGAATTATCTGACCCAAAATGTTGATAGTGTCAGTTCATAAACCTTGATCCAGGGCCTGGGTGGCTGAGGCAGAGCAGAGGAAAAGATTAAGAATTGAGAGATTAAGGTAGGAGATAGATTTACCAACTGTGAAGTTGCCAAGAATGGACAGCAGGAAGAATGAGGACAGGATGGCGGTGGTAAGGAAGGCAGTCAGCAAGGTGCTAAAGTTTTCAGTGAAAGAAAGGGAAAGATCAGGACATGAGATGATTATAAAAGAAGGGGAGGCAGATGATATAGTCTGATGTCATGTGCTTAGGAGTATCAGGGATTTTGAAACAGAAAATAAATAAATGGTATGCAAGTGCCAATAGGGAGCACCTCTTTGTCTTAAGTTTCCTGGGATGTGGGAGAAAAAAAAATCTTCCTCTTGATCAAACTACAGGGAATACCCAGGACTCACTCAGATCAGTAAGCTATAGGGAAGAGTTGGCTAGTTAGCTCAGTTGGTTAGAGTGAAGCCTTGTAACCTTGAGGTCAAGGGTTCAGATCCCCATAGTGGCTAGCTCAAAAAAAGAAAAAAAAGAAGGAAGCTATAGGGAACTTTAAGAGTCATGGTTACATATATTTTCCAAGAGGTTTTTATTTCAGCATTAAACAAAAGTGATGCAGAATTTCCTGATTCATAACACGTTCGGTGGAGACATAGGTATAATTTACAGCAGCTCACTAATGCTGTTTGAAGACTATATTGAAGACAGATTTTTCTTTCCAGACAGTGACTTTTGACACTTCTGTCTGAGCTATTTGGTCTCAAGTACTATATACAAATAGTTTTCCAAATGTGGTCCCCAAACCAGCAGCATCAGCATCACCAGGGAAATCTGTTACATGTAAACTCTGAGCTCTGCCACTGACCCATTGAATCAGAAACTATGGGGCTGGGGCCCAGCAACCTGTGCTTTGACAAGCCCACCAGAATCACCCACTAGGAGATTCTGATGCACCCTGAAGTCTGAGAACCACTGATATAAAGGTAGAAATCTGTGGGTTAAGGGGACAAAGAAAGTAATTATTAAGTACCCACAATAATCCAAAGCTTTGTATACTTAATGTAATTTAATCTTAACAAGAGTCCAGAGAGGTAGGTATTGTTATCCCAGTTTTTACATGTGTTGTAAAATATATATAACAAAATTTGCCATTATAAGCATTTTAAAGTATATAATTCAGTGGCATTAAATATATTCACAACATTGTACAATTATTGCCACTACCCATCACCAAAACTTTTTCATCACTCCACAGAGAAACTCTGTAACTATTAAATAATAACTGCCCATTCCTCCCTCACCCCCCAGCCCTAAGAACCTCTAATCTACTTTCTGTCTCTATGAATTTGCCTATTCTAGATACTTCATGTAAGTGGAGTTATATAATATTTGTCATTTTGTATCTGCCTTATTTCACTCAGCATGTTTTCAAAGTTGATCCATGTTGTATCATGTATCAGAATTTCATTCCTTTTCAAGGCTGAATAATATTCCATTGTATGTGTATACCACATTTTGTTTATCTGCTCATCTGTGGACGGACACTTGGGTTGTTTCCATCTTTTGGCTATTGTGAATAATGCTGCAATGAACACTGATTTACAAGTTATCTGTTTGATGCACTGTTTTCAATTCTTTTGTGTTATCCCATTTTTTTTTAAATGATGAAACTAAGGCTCAGACCAAGCAAAATGGCCCAGGCTAGACAGTAGAACAGCCAGGCCAGTATGATGCCAAAGCTCCTCCCACCAAAGGCCACCTGAGAGGGCGGGGCCAGTCTGCCACCCCTGCAGGATGCTTCACTGCGTTATTTATTACTGTGTGTGTGTGTGTGTGTTCCTGATTGTTCTGTTTTCGTTTCTTTTTTTTTTCTCTTTCTCGAAGGATACTAGTTCTACAAGTGTTTCCAGGAAAGCCCTGCCAGAAATAAGCCGAATTACCCAGTCCATGACAGAAAAATGGATAGCAGCGAAAAGAGGAAGTACTGAACATGAAGTGGCTAAAAGGTGGCTCTGTCTGATAAATTATAAACCACTTTCATCTGGTTCTAAAGTCTGAGTCATTTTATCCTAGACGTAAGAAAGAGGGTTTGGCTTTATTGTGAAGGTATTTTCATTTCAACTGTGATTCTCTTCCACCACCTCTTAGTTTGAATAGGTCATCAATGTATTTATTCATTCATTTCTTATTTAGTATAAATAGGAGATATATGGAGGACATATGATATCCCAGGCACCTTGCTAGGTGAGGGAGGTGCAGGAGTGAATCAAAAAAGCTCTCAAAGCCTTCAAGAATGCAGACTGTTTTCATAACGTTATAGTTGACACTCTGGAGTTCCATGAGTTTGGGTCTGCAGAAGGATGGATTTTATTTCAATCTAGATGACTTGAACAAATCAACTATAAAGGATTTTGGTGAGATTTAGCAATAATATGCACAAAGTTATTTTCATTAGTAGTGATTCCATATCATCAGTTATTTATTCAGACATAAGACATAAGGAGGCATGCTTTACAGTATGTAGTGACTTAACCCTTGTTATTACTTTTGCAGTGAAATTAGAATGATATTTTCATCTCCTGCTTGCCTGACTGCGAGTTTTTTAAAGAAAAGGTAATCTACTTAGATTTACCTTCATTTAACACTGCGGAATATTTAAAATGAGATATTTTGAGTCAGTTAAAATTATGAATTTTATTGTCTATGCACAAAAAGTTCAATATGGAGAACTCCATAGGTTGTTATAGAATTCTTCCATTTTATAAAGTAATTTTCTATTAGACCACTATAAGTTGTAGTTCCTAATTAACATTGTTTACTTCCTACACACTGCCTTCCTGTATCATGGGATTGGAAGGAATGGTGTTTTTTCAGGATCTTTGTATCCACAAGTGATCAGCTAAACCTAACATTGCTTTAGTACTTAGAGGCCAAGGGCGAACTTAACAACTCTTACTGTGCAGGATCAATAAGGAAAATAGATTTATTTTGTCTTTAACTCACTGTTAGAGGAAAATATCATTTCTCTCCTTTTGAGTTTAAATACTCGTTCTGATCCAATAAACAATTCCTTTAATGTTCAATATTTGGTCTTCTATTTCTGCTCCTACCCTCAAGCTCTCCAATATGGGAACTAGGTGTAAAAGGGAGGAGAAGGCAGGATAGTAGTGTAAAGGGATTTAAGGATCTCGGGCTGCCCTCTGCTCTCTCTGGAGGCTGGTGCCCTGCTTATCTGTCTGCAGCTGGTGTGATTCATTCCAGTTCTCGTTCACCTGGTCAGGTCCTGTTACTTTGGTCTCAAGTTGGCTCCCTGGTTCAGAAGATGGTTGTACACATCTTCTATGCCCTCCTGGCCGCTAGGTGGTTCTCACTTAACCCCTGTTGCTATTCCCCTACACAACCCCCAGCAGCCCCATTGGGTATTAACTCTTAGAATGATTTAGAATGCCTCTGGGCATTTTGAGGGGACTAGAAGAACTGAAGGAGCCATTGGGTACCAACAACTTCACCTGGGAACTCGAGAAGCCCAGGAAAGCTAAATGTGATGGCTTCCTGCTGGCAGTTCATGAGGTAGTATCTTTTTAGAATCCAAAAGCATCTCTATTCATCTATTCATTTCTGCTTATTCCAGCCAAAGGCAGTAGAGAAATCAGGACACTACTTCGTTTTCTTCTTCCACCATGTTTCTTAAGGGAGAAACTCTCCCAGACAAAGTATCCACTTTCTTCCCCACTCTAGCCTCAGGCTAATCCTTACTGTATGTAGAAGTGTCTTTTTTACATTAAGAATATTATCTTTCTAAAGTAGAAAAGTATCCATGCCTGTCTCCCAGGAGTGAAGAACTCTTAACATGCCAAAGTTTGCAAAGGAGGATACATTTTAAGGAGAAATTTACAATACTTTTAGTACTTCCATAAATATTTTAGCCCTAATATTAGTGTCGATCAGTTAACCCAGCAAGCGTAAAATATTCCTTGATAATGCATTATTAAAAAATTGTTAGACTTGTTGAATGCCAGTTCCTCAAATACCACCAAAACAACTTATCTTGATAAGACAGACCAGGCAGAACACCACGCATGGATAGAACTTTGGTAGTGTTTCTGAGAGGCGACAACAGGTCAGAATTTATTGAGAATTGGGAGTTTGGTGTAAGGCAGGTCTTTCAACGTGGGAGGGGAAGACTAGGGGCTTGATTAGGATTGGGTAAATATAAAACAATCCAGGCTGGGCGGAAACAGCAAGGCAGGGGATGCTTTCCATTGAAGAGTTAATGGGAAGTTTTTATAATGAACAATCAAGCCATTTGCCTGGGCAAGAGTTTCCTGAAATAGTAAAGTGATGCTAATGAAAACAGTGGAATTGCAAGGTTATGTAAATACAAATGTAAGGTATGTGGGTGTAGGTAGTTTCAGTTCTCAATGTGCAAACCGAGTGCATAGATGGTCTCAGTTCTGAGATTCAGCATATAAAATTTTGCTAATATTGCAGCCCAAACTTGATCTAACTACTCTCTTTTAACAAGGAGAACATAAAATTAATAATTTTTTTGTGTCAAGTAAGTTGATTATTTTGAAAGGAAGCAAGCTTTAAGGAAAAAATTTATATCTTAAATATAATAAAATAAAAAACAACTAATGACATATGACGTTTGGAAATATCCCTTTCCATCTGTTTATGTGTTTTTTTTTACATTTCTTGTGTCCAAAGAGAAACTGGAGAAAAGATCGTTATTGATGTGGACTTACAAATGGCAGGAGATACCTTCAAGAAGTTAACAGAAAAGAAATGGATTTCTTTCATGGTAATAACCAATACTTATTTGAGAAATAGAACAATAGAATTTCTTTATAGGAACAAGTATGATTGCAGTGTAATTTTGTTGGGAGCTGAGTGAGAGGGGACTATGATTGGGACAGGCATAGGGGCTAGTATTCATTATGAAGTTACTGTATTTCAGACACTGTTTTAGGTGCTGGCATTTATTTTTTTATCGAACCATTAAATGTACAATAGATACAATATTTTTATTTTTAATATGAGAAAAACAATGCTTAAGAGGTAAATAACTCTAGCATGACGTAAGAAAATAGCATTGGTTTGGGAAGCAGGATAATCTTATCTTCGACTGGGAGACTGAAAAGACTGTTCTCTATTTTGAGATGAACCTCACATCTATTTGAGATGAATCTTTGCTTCTGAATATCCCCTTCTCTTTGGGTCACATTTTCTTTACCTGTAAGTTATATTCATTTTTAAGGTCTATTTCAGTTTAATATTATGTGATTCCAGGTTGTATTGGGAGGAAAACTTTTCATCTACCAATTTAGGTTTGAGTATGCATTGGGGAATTGGGGCCTTCAAATTAACAATAGACAGATTAACAGGATGTCTTCATTCTTTTGGGCTGCTATAACAGAATACCATAGGCCATGTGGCTTGTAAACTACAGAAATTTATTTCTCTCAGTTCTGGAGGCTGAGAAGTCCAAGTTCAAGGGACCAGCAGGTTTGGTGTCTTGTGAGGGCCCACTTCTAGGTTCATAGATGACTGTTTTTTGCATGGCAGAAGGGGCAAGGAAGTTCTCTGGTGTTTCTTTTATAAGGGAACTAATCCCATTCATGAGGGCTCCACCCTCATACCTAATCACCTACCAAAGGTCCACCTCTTAAAACCATCCCATTGGGGGCTAGAATTTCAACACATGAATTTGTGGGGACACATTCAGTTTATAGCATAGGAGAAAAGAAAACAAGTTTTATTCACTGGCATATGGGAGCATTCAGATGAAGAGTCTCTTTGAACAGCTAGGATAAGGATTTATATACCAACTTAATAGTGGAAGGGGAGAGGGAGAAAGAGCTCCTATGGGAAGACTAAATGGGCTTTTATGGGGACAAATGGGAGATATGAAGTTTGTGATGTTTGCTTATGCAGTTTCTCATCCAGGTGTGAGCAGTCTGGTGATTGTTCTCCTTCCTGGTAGTGAAGGTCAGATAAGGGACGCTCCAAAAAGGCTTTTCTACACCAACTCTATCTCAAGTGTCTTCAGTTTAAAGTAATCTTTATACCAATTGGTGGGTCCAAGTGGGTCTCTACGTTTGGAAGGGGAAGCGGGAGAGTGTTCCTTAATGTGTAATAGATATTATCAAGTATATTTTAAAAATGAATTTATTTAGGTGATATGGGAAATAACTTGGGGTGCTATTCCCAGTATGAGTTCCAAAGAACATTAGTTTCACAAAAACCTCCTTGAAAAGGGTTCTCAATGAAATAACTTTGGGAAAACTGTATATTATTATGGAGTCATAATGCACATTAGTAAATCAAAGATTCTATATGATGTCATATACTGAAAGAAATCTAACTTTTTTGACACTATTATTGTTGGAGTTATTTGACTTTGTGATACTATTTTCCTATGCCTTTACATGATTATTAATAAGATTAAATAAACTGATTTACACGAGATCACCTGACACATGGTGAGTACTCAAGGAATGTTCAAACAAATATAAAGAATTCCATACAAATTATTCCCATTAGTATGTTTTTATATATTTCCTATTTTAAAACCTTACCTGTAGGTGAAATTAATAATATTCACAGCTATTTTTGCTGTGAAAAATTTTTACTAAGATGTGAGGAATAAAGACAGGAAGAAATGGATTTTGTGGGGGAGGGGTGGAGGGTAACAGCTGCTCCTTCTAGAGAAGGAGGAATTAGGTGTGACCTGTATACAATATTGCTTTTGGATTAGTTCTGAAATCACAATTCACTCAGTGTGTCCATGCACATGTGATTTCACTTTATTTCTTTCATGCACCCTGATATAAAATGGGGAGGATGGCTCTCATAGACTACCTCAAGGCATTTGGGATATAAGGAGTGATGGAGTTTCATCAATATGTTTCAGAAAGACTAAATGATTATTCCAATTGGAATATGGTAGGATGAAACCCCAGATCCCATAACTTGTTTCTCAGTACTCTGCATATAATATATCCTGGGCCCTTTTCCTGTTCCTATTTCGACCACAGATAACTACATGTCTCAGGGATAATTTGCTCAAAGCTCTTCCATGCCGGTCTCCCCACCAAGAAGCTTTAGAAGTTTTTCTCCTGCTACCAGAATGTCCTGTGATGCATGATTCTAACAACTGGGAAAGCCTGGTGGTTCCATTTGCAGAGGCTGTTAGTAAAATGAGTGATAAATCTTTACAAGTCCTGAGTAAGTTTTATGTCACCTTTTCTGTACTCTCAATAAGTCACTGTCTGAAGCAGAAGTAGCAAAATTTGGATAGAAGACTTCAAAATATACAAACATTTGAGTACATGGTGTGTGAATTATCAAAAAAATAAATCTAAAGCTATTATAATCATTATTGTTATCAAACACAGCAGGTGTAGTTCTTATACTTGGCTTTGACGTAAATTTGAAAACCATAGAGTATCCAGTCCAAATAAATCCATGCTTTAAAACTTTTGCTCCTGTTGTTTTAAGACTTTAGACATTTTGACCAGAGTTGATGAAAAACAAATGTAAAACTTTGTGTTATTATTATTTATTTTTCTCAATACAGTAGAAAGTCCATTTACAATTTTGAGCTTATGTTGAAGGTCCAAAGCTTAAAAGGTACAAAGTATTGTACAGTGAAATATAAGCCACCCAGTTCCCCTCGCAGAAGGCAGATTCTAGTTTCTCGTGCAACCTTCTAAAGATATTCTCTGTACTCATATATAAGCACATACAAATGTATTCTTCCCTTTTTTCTTTTTTTTTTTTTTTTTGGCAGCAATTTACATTCTTCTTCAGCAACTTGTTTCTTCCCACTTAACAGTATGTTGTGGAGATCATTCCGTTACAGGACCTACAGAACCACCTCATTCTATCTAATGGCTGAAGAATATTCTATTGGGAGGATATTATTATGGATAGTGATTTTTACTCTTTTGCTGTTATAATAACAGTGCTAACATGCATATTTCTTTGTACATATATATATATTTATGCATGCAGAAAAAATTCCAGGAAGCAAAATTACTGGGTCAAGTTGTATGTGCATTTGTATTTTGAAACATTTTGCCCAAGGACCCTCCACAGAGTTCCAGGCCACCATATCACCCAACTTTAAGTGGCCACCATTCACACTGTAGTCTACATAAGTTGCACCCTTGGAGTTGAGCAGCACTGCAGGCCTGACAGAGGATGTACCAACTTACACTTCATCAATAAATATGAAAGTATCAGCCCGCATACTTTTCAAGTGTTACCAAATTTTAACCTTTGCTGTTCTGAAAAACAAAACAAAACAAAAACTCTCTTAATTTTAATTTGAAGTTTTCTTATTGTGAATGAGGTTGTGCTGGTTTTCTTATATCTCATATCTGTTTGTGTATCATATTCTGTGAACTATTGATTCTTCCCTTTTTCCATTGGTTGTTAGTAGTCTTCTATTTTATTTTAGGAACTTTTGAACTAGTAAAGCAATTAAACCTTTATTAATAATATGAATTCCACGTATTTTTTTCCTTAACCTATTTAAAAAAAATTTTTTTTTTACTTTGTGGTATTTTTGCCATGCATAATTTAAAAAAATACTTTATGCAGCCTACTACATTAATATGTTCTTTATGACTTCTGGGTTTCGGGGGTCATACTTCAAAAAGCCTATGTCACTCTGAAATTTTAAAAAATTCGCATGTTCTTATTATAACTTTTATTATTGCATTTTTATGTTTAAATCTTTGATTCATATAGAATTTATCTTGGTTGAAATTTATTTTTTTTCTGGATCAGTTTCCAATTGTCCCACATTTATTAAATGATCTGTTTCATTCCCACTAATATGCAATACCACCTTTATCATATACTAAAATATCATGTGTATTTGGGTCCATTTATGAAATCTTTACCCTGCTACATTGATCTGCCTTTCATGCTTTTGGGTAATTCCGTTGTAATTACATTAGCCTGTTTTTTAACATTTGATAGTTTTGTTTTCAGAGAACTGTCTTTTAAAGGTACCAAAATCCAGGTTGCAGTCTCAGTAATATTAAATTATATAGTTATTGAGTATTTAACATAACATCAATGTCAAAGGCTCAGATCCCCATACTGTCCAGCTGCCAAAAAATATAAATAAATAAATAAATATACATGTACCAGGTGTTCATAAAATTTGAAAACAAAGATAATATTATTTCATTTTTTACAGATTAAAATATCATGATGACACTGTGTGTGTGCATGTGTTCACCAATGATGTTTTCAGGCTTTATAGATACCCTATAAAATTGTCAGTTTAGGGCCGGCCCGGTGGCGCACTGGATAGTGCGCCGCTTGGGAAGCGCGGCGGCGCTCCCGCCCGAGGGTTCGGATCCCACATACAGACCAGTTCCCGCTCACTGGCTGAGCGAGGCACGGGAGCAACGCCGAGGGTTGCAGTCCCGTTGCCGGTCCCCGGTCCGGTACGGGGGCACCGCTGGGGGTGGCGCTCGGTTGCCGGACACGGAAAAAAAAAAAATCCAAAAAAAAAAAAAAAGTCAGTTTAAAAACCATGAAGGCAATTAATTAAAAAAAAATGGAAAAAAAAAAAAAAAGTCAGTTTAAAAACCATGAAGGCAATTAATTAAAAAAAAATGGAAAAAAAAAAAAAAAGTCAGTTTAAAAACCATGAAGGCAATTAATTAAAAAAAAATGGAAAAAAAAAAAAAAAGTCAGTTTAAAAACCATGAAGGCAATTAATTAAAAAAAAATGGAAAAAAAAAAAAAAAGTCAGTTTAAAAACCATGAAGGCAATTAATTAAAAAAAAATGGAAAAAAAAAAAAAAAAAAAAAAAAAAAAAAAAAAAAAAATGTCAGTTTAAAAACCATGAAGTCAATTAATTAAGCATAAATGTGAAACATCAACAAATTTCTCCAAATTCTGAATTTGAGCTTTTAATTCTAATGATACTTAATCAGGGGAAAAGTTTTTTTCCCACATCTGTGAGTAGTAAGTGTTGTCCAGGGTGATATCCTTAGAAAAGATATTTTATGAGCTATGCCATCAGAAATGGAAAATATTATGTATTTATTACATTAAAGAACCCAGTAAAAACTGAGGGATTTGGGGGGCAAGGGGGAGACCATGTTTATCATGACTGATTTTATACCCCTCAGAGAAATGTTGGGCATCTCTGCAAGAATCTTCTCTGAACACACTGGTTCAGATGCTTAAAATAGCCATCATCTCTCAACTGCTTCATTGGATCGGAACTGATCAGGGTCACCGTAATGTTAAAGTTCTTCTAGGAATGATGAAAGAAGTGTATAAGGTAAGGGTTCATCTAAAGGAATGTATATATCATTTTATTAAATCAAAACTCGTTAGGTCTTAGCCAGTTGGAGTCTTAAGAAGTCAAATAAGAATCATGAGGAGTTAAATATTTTTTAAAGTGATGTATAAAAGAGAAAAGTTTAGCATAAAATAAGTGGGGATTTGTCAGGCTTTAAAAACTAATGCCACCTTAAGTGACATTACAAGTGGATTAACGTGGCAGCCTAAGACGGTGCCGGGAGGAAGTAGGATGGGAGTGTCTGCGGGTACCTTGCCTTAGCCCTTATTGGCCGCGCTCGTGAACATTGCGTGATTGCAATAGATAGGCATTGAGACAGGATGCATGCCCTTAACCCTTAAGCTGATTGGAGGATGTAAAAAACCTGCCTTCCCCATTTGCCTTTAAAAGCAAGTGCTTGTGTGATAATAAACGGAACTGCCTCAACAGAACCCCCGCCGCATCTGAGTGTCCTTTAATTGGGCTGTTTGGGGCCAGCGGTGTGCTCACCTCTCTTCACGGCTCTCTTCCCCCGTCTCCTTCCAAAGGGTACTGGAGGGAAAGAGGAATCTGGGCCATTCGCTCGCCCACCGAAAGGAACAAGGCTAGGGATGTTCGGGTAGGCCGGCGGCGGACCCGACAGGGATTTAAAAAGTGAGAAACTTTATGAGGACTTCAGGTGATTTGTAATGGACTTTCATTAAGTACACTGAGGATACTGCTCACGCAATATGAAACAACATGGATGAATCTCATCAACACAAAAGATTATGGGCTCTATGACTTCTTTTATATAAACTTGAGATAGTCAAAGCTAATCTATAATGATAGAAATCAAAATGGTGTTACCTCTTGGTGGGGTGGGCAATTGACTTGGAAGGATCATGGGGGAGCCACTTGTGGGCTGCTGGAATGTCCGATGTCTTCATGTGTTCAGCACTTACCCAAGTGTATATATGCGTAAAAACTGACCAAGCTGTATATTTAAGATTTATGCACTCAGGGCCTGGGTGGTTGCTTAGTTGGTTAGAGCACAGCCTTGTGACACCAAGGTCATGAGTTTTAATCCCTGTACTGGCCAGCCACCAAAAAAAAAAAAAAAAAGATTTGTGCACTTACTGAATGTGTGTTATAGCTTAGTAAAAATTAAATAAAAAGAATTAAAGATGAGAAAGTTCCCAGAGGACTGTGTCACATCATTTGACTCTTAACTGTCCATATCAGAATATTTGTTAAATCCTACTAAAGGAAGATCAGGTGAGGCCACTAGGATTTGGTGTCCACATGCTCTGTGGCCCTGTCAACACTGGGGGGTCACCAGAGTGCAAAGTCTGTTCTAGTAGGGCTGCCTGGAGTCAGTGGTGTCCACAAGTCACAGGGCTTGGTTACACTGTCCTCATTCTGCTTTAGGTGGTAGTCCCAGTAAATAGGGTTTCATTCTCTCTTAATACATAAAGGGCATCATGGTAGGACGCTGTTTCTTACATTTAACTTTTTTTTTCTTCTGGGTTACTTTTACTTCTTAATAAAGTACATCTCTTTCCCTGGTGCTTTGTAGTATTGCCTGTGTTGAAAATCAAGTACACATTTAGCCATGGGTCTGTTCATCTAACCTTATACCAGTACAACACTGTCCTAGTTACTGTATCATTATAAGAAATATAGATAAGTGGTAAAATCTTTCAACTTTTTAATTTTGTTTAGTATTGTTGTTGCTCTTAAATGTAAACTTTAAAATTAACTTGTTATTCCACAAATTCCATCTGTTGGGATTTTGATTACATTTTTGACCTGGTATTGAATTGAATCTAAAGAACAATTAGGGAGAGAAGACAACTTTACAATATCATGTCTTCCAAGTCTGATCATGATATAGCTCTTCATTTATTTAGGCCTTCTATAATTTCTTACAATAATATTTTATAGTTTTCTATGTAGAAGTCTTGCAGTCTTCTATTAGATTAATTCCTGAATGCCTGATATTTTTGCGTGATTGTATGTCTTTTTTAAACAGCTTTATTGAGATATAATTTACATATACAATTCACCATTTAAAATGTACAATGGAATAGTTTTTAGTATTTTCAGAGTTGTACAACCTTCACTACCATCAGCTTTAGAACATTTTCATCACCCAAAAAGAAGCCCTTGTACCCATTAGCAGTCACTCCCAATCCTCTCACCTCTGCCCCAGCTCTAGGCAATCACTAATCTACTTTCTGTCTCTACAGATTTTGCCTATTCTGGACATTTGATATAAATGGAATCACACATGATGTGTTCTTTTGTGACTGCCTTCTTTCACTTAGCATAATGTTTTCAAGGTTCATCCATTTTGTAGCATGTAATGAGTACTTTATTCCTTTCCATTGATGAATAATAAATAATTCACTATATGGGATATCACATTTTATTTATCCTTTCCTCACCTGGTGAATATTTAGGTAATTTCCACTTTTTGACTATTATGAATAATGCTGCTATTTACATTTGTGTACAAGTTTTTGTGCCATATGGCAACTCTAGTTTAATCTCATGAAGAACTGCCAGACCAGGGCCGCCCCGGTGGCGCACTGGAGAGTGCACCGCTTGGGAGCGCGGCGGCGCTCCCGCCAAGGGTTTGGATCCCATGTGGAGACCGGTTCCTGCTCACTGGCTAAGCGCGGTGCGGGTGTGACACCGAGGGTTGCGATCCCGTTGCCAGTCCCTGGTGCGGGTGTGACACCGAGGGTTGCGATCCCGTTACCGGTCAGTAAAAAAAAAGACAAAAAAAAAGGGAAAAAAAAAAAAAAAAGAACTGCCAGACCATTTTCCAAAGGGACAGCACCATTTTGTTTTCCCACCAGCAATGTATAAGAGTTGTGATTTTTCTATAGTCTTGTCAACACTTGTTATTATTTGCCATTTTAATTATAGTCATCCTAGTGGGTGAGAAATTATATCACTTTGAGGTTTTTTTTTTTTTTCTGTATATATATATATATATATATTTTTTCCTTTTTGTCTTTTTTCATGACCGGCTACGGATCGCACCCCTCAGTGTCGTGCCCGTACCAGACCGGGACCGGCAACGGGATCGCAACCCTCGGTGTTGCGCCCTCACTTTGAGGTTTTGATTTACATTTCCCTGATGGCTAGTGATGTTGAGAATCATTTCATATGCTTATTGACCATTTCTGTATCTTTTTGGAGAAATGTCTATTCAGATCTTTTGCCCATTTTTAAAATGGTTTATTTGTCTTACGTCCCTTATGAAATATATAATTTGCTAATATTTTCTCCCATTCTGTGTTATCTTTTCACTTTCTTGATGGTGTCTTTTAAGGCACAAATGTTTTTAATTTTGATGAAATTTAATTTATCTACTTTTTCTTTTTATTTTTTTTTTTTTGTCTTTTGTCTTTTTTCCGTGTCCGGCAACGGATCACAACCCTCAGTGTTGCCCCCGTACCGGACCGGGGACCGGCAACGGGATTGCAACCCTTGGCGCTGCTCCCGCGCCTCGCTCAGCCAGTGAGCGGGAACCGGTCTGTATGTGGGATCCGAACCCTCGGGCGGGAGCGCCGCTGCGCTTCCCAAGCGGCGCACTATCCAGTGCGCCACCGGACCGGCCCTCTACTTTTTCTTTTAAAAGTTAAATTTCTGTTTGTCTTTGGTGTATAGAAATGCAGTAAGTTTTGTATATTAACCTTGTTTTTAGCAATCTTTCTAAATTTATCTATTAATACTAACCTGTTGATTATTTGTACTTCTCTGCATACAGTCATATAACTTGAGAATAATAAGTTTTATTTCTTCCTTTTCTTTTTCTTTACTTATCTAGGACTTCCAGTATAATGTTTTAAATCTTGTTGTGATCTCAAAGGGAAAACATTAAGATTATGTTTTGCTGTGGCATTTCTGTTGATACCTTTAAAAAAGATTAAGAAAATTCCATTCTATTTCTAGTTTGCTAAGAGTCTTTTTTAAAAATGGGCAAAAGATCTGAATAGAAACCTCTCCATGGCAAAATACAAAGAGTTTCAGCTGTTAAACTAACCTTGCCTACTTGAATTAACCCAACTTGCTCAAGATGTTTTATAGATATAGATCTCAAAGATTCAGTGTGCTAATATTTTGTTTAGAATATTTGTATACATGCTCATGAATGAGATTCATCTGTTGTTTTACTTTCTCATAATGTCCCTCTCAGGTTTCTGATTTAGCTGGTGCTGGTCAGGGAAATATTCTATTTTTATTCAGTGGAAGAGATTATATAATATTGGCATTATTTTCCTTAGATGATTGTAAGAATTAATCATGAACCCTTTTGGATCTGGAGATTTCTTTGTGGGAAGTTTTTAAAATTACAGGTTTGAATTTTTTTTTTTTCTTTCCAGCAGCTGGCTGGAATGGGGATCCAACATCTTATATGTTAAACAATATTTCCTTATGAAAATTGGAGAAATTATAGGTCAGAAAATGGAAATTTTATACAATTCTACTTCATCATTGACAAATGTTTTCACTTTGTAGACCTCTATTTTAACTATCTATATAATAGCCATACTATTATATATGTAAATACATATTATAGATTAAATCATTTATCAATAGAAAATGAAATTCACAAGTCATGTTTTCTTTAAGGTAAACAAAGCTAACTGTCTACTGCCAGAAAATACTTTCAACATAAATGAACTCTCGAACTTGTTGAACTTTTATTCAGAGAGACAAAGACTGTTTCTTCGGAATAACAACCTGGTAAGAAAAATATTTTTTTATGGAAATTTTTATACTTGAAAGGGGACATCTTACTGTGGTAGCTGGGTAGATATCCCTTGATAAATCAAGATTTGAACATTTTCTCATTGTAATGCTGAATTTGCTAAATTAGACAATTATTAAAAATTTAAACATCTTTCCCTCACAAAACAAATGCATTTTCTTGGAAATTTGTTTCTAGGTCATTTTGGATTCTTAAAAACAGATGCCAAAAAGTATAGAGAGAAATAATTTAAGGTGATAAGGTAAAGGAATAAAGTTTTTTTCTTTTTTTAATTATCAAAACTACTATTTTTTTTTTTTAGGTAACTGCAAAAAACCCCAGTCTTGTTATTTTCAGTGACTTTCCATTTATCTTCAATTTGTTATCCAAAATTAAATTATTGCAAGCTAATTCATATATAAAGATGATGGTACGTATGAAAAATTTCAAACATATATTAAGTAGTGATAACGACATAATGAACCCCATCACCAAGATTGATTAGTTATCAACATTTTGCAACACTTTATTCATCTATCACTTTTGTTGTTTTTGTAGTTGTTACTGTTTTTGCTGAAGTATTTTAAAGCAAATCCCAGGCCCAATTTCTTTCCCTATCTCCATATGTTGGTGCATTATTGCTCATTGTCTCACTCTTGTTCATGCTGAGGTTCATCAGCGGGTTCATGTGGTGACCACATAATTCTTCCATTGTAATGTTCTCATCAATTTTTTATTTAATACTTTCATACATTATTTTCATTAAGATTGGCAATATGACAATATTTGTAAGCCTATCATTCTTTTCAAAGTCATTAACTGGAATTCTGTAAAGAAGAGCATTTCCTTATCAGTCAGGGTATTTGGTTACCCTAAAATGGTTAGAAACCATTCACATGGGAAGACAGAATAATGCTTAGACCTTTCTTTTTAATTATTTGATGTTGCCAAATTACCCTACATAGAGTTTGCAAATACCTCTTTCACATGCTCTCACCAATGCAAAGTATTACCAAGCTTTGTGATCTTTTCCAATTTGGTGAGGCATCATAAAATTTCAGTTTAATTTGAATTTCTTATTATTTAATGTCGTAGTCCTCACTTTTTTATATATAGTATCCATTGTTTTCCTACTGTGAGCACTTACTGAAACTGCCTAATAAACTATTCCTTCTCTCTACTTTCCCTCTCCTCCTCTATCCAATTTTAGTTACTACTATGTTCTTAGTGTCAGTCTTTGGATTTGTGTGTCTCCTTAAGCTTCTTGGAGCTTGATTTATAAGCTCCAACTGATATTCTTTTATTTCAACATAATGCCTGTGAGTCGGTCAATTAGTTTATTCTGTTCTCACCCTTCTACTTCTTTTCTGGTAGTTGTATTATTCCCACATAACATTTACATACTATTTTGTTTCTTTTTTTGCCATCAGCCTTCATTCTCAAGTGTATATCATGCTCATCACCCAGACATATTCTAAAGAATTTCCAACAATTTTTTTATTTCTGAAGTTTTCTAAGTCATTCCTCAGGAAAGGTTTCTATCTATTTATCTGTGATGTTTATACTTTAAAGACTCACAGGAATCATACCCATTGCTGACTTTATTAATAATTTAAAGGATACAGGTCATCTGGGTGAAACACAGAAAAGTCTGGGACATCACATGCACAAAAGGAGCCATTTCAGTTATAAAACATTCTTTTTTTATACCCTATTAATTATATAGCTTACATGCCATTGTCCAATGTACCATCCCCTGTAAATCCATAAATTCCAGGTTTATTTATTAATAAGGAACCTAGACAGACAGGGTATATCCTGCTACCAGCACTCCATAGATAAGGACTCTCCCTCTAGTTACTATTATTGGTGTCTGTTATCAGCATATTTACAAATAGATTTGACCAGGTCTTCTCCTTTTGTTTCTTAATCTTTTTATTTATTTATTTATTGGCAGCTGGCCAGTACAGGGATGAAATCCTGAATCCTGGTGTTATCAGCACCATGCTCTAACCAACTGAGCTAACCAGCCAGCTCTTCTTTCAATTATTAAATGGTTTTTATTTTCCTAACATCCCTGGTAAAAGTAGAAAATAAATTAAGCCTTTTCTTCCCAAACATAACTTTCCCATGTTTCCCTTAAACAAGTCCTTCCCTTGATGGTGTTTTCTTCTATGGCAATGATTCTCTCTGTCTAATCTGACTACTCTGTTAGTAAGTAGTTGAGGGCTGAGTGGACAGTGAACCCAGGCAGGTTCCACTTTATGAAGGATTAGGAAAGTTTTGAGGACAAGAAAACTCTTATTTGTAGTTGTCATGAGTGAAGTTGGAAAGTAGACATCACAATCGTGCTCTCCAAAGGAGAGATGATGGACATAGTCTAAGATGTAAGCTCCAAACTGGGTTACCAATTCAAATGTGTCAGTGTACAAGGGGAAAATCAATGTATAGAGAACTGGAGTAGAGAAGCTGGAAAATAAAATAAATGTAGGTTTCCAGTCCAGCTCTTGGTTAGGTAAGAGAAGGTATGGACCCCTCTCTCTTCTTTAACCAGTGGAGAACATTGCTGGCCACTCCCTGTCACTCAGAGCCATGGAACGTATTGTTCAGCTATCAATATTGCTGATGCTGCAGACTCATGGGACACAGGAGGAGATAACCTACCACTAGAAAGAACCAGAAATGGGACTTGTTGTATTTCCCTACAAACCTGGAGATTCTTTCCAAAAAACATCTTAAGGAAAAACTAGAAGAATCTAGTGTAATCACGTATAAATTTCTCAGTACATAGTTGTGGCAGGGATTTCTCAAGCCCAGAGCTACATGCACATGAGGTACATGTAGAAAGCCAATGTGAGCAAACACTCCCTGCCTAGAAACCTGCAATACGATAGCTATTATTCCCTGGTCTTGCTGTCACTATTGCAAGACAGGCCCCTAAAGGGCTACATGGGTTGATGAGTCCACAATACTCCTTTATTGTCCTTGTGATATTCTAGAAGTGTTCAAAGTCAAAGCAAGCGTAGCAAGTTCAACACTAGATTTCTAATCCAAAGGAATTCAGCAGAAACAAAGATTAGGGACTAAAGTGGTGAGGGAATTCAGAAAAGCTAAAGAGAAGTACTATTTAGGGTAGCCAGGAGCAATACTAGATCAAATGAGGCCACTTGTGGCATAATTTTAGAGAGTTCCCATGGAGATGGGGTAGATGAATTATAGTTATTTGAAGAAGAGGAGCAGATCCTCTCTGAGCAAGTCTTTCCTCTTGTCTTTTTTTTTTTTTAAGCGAATGTTTAATATACTTGTAGCAGTAAAAGGAATGAAACAAGGATTAGAATTTTATAATATATATTAGACATTTATGTAAAAGATGTTTTGTTTTTCAGAGAAGTTTCCCCTATTTCCCTATTTATTTTCTGTCTTCCTCAGAGCAATAACTAGTAATTACTACTCTCATGGGTAAGCTGCTTCTTTGTGCTGGACAGTGATTACATTTTTATGTTTCACATCATTATCATCTCTCAAAACTCTATCCTTCAGAGTACCTTCACAGCACAGTCTCACAGTAAAATTGTACTCCACTCAAAGAAGAAAAGCCTAAAGAAATTAGAGCAAACTGCAGTCAAATTCATGTGAATAAATGCTAGGGGCACAAGAATTTTTAAGTACAGATTCAGTAACAGAGTGTGTACTGGCACAAACCTTCTATTTATTCACATTATTAAAACTGCAGTAATAGAAATAAAAGCTATATTAGTGAAAAAGGAACTCAGGAATGAGGTCATTAAATATAACTAAATATATTTTAAATATAAATACCATGTATTTCCTAATTAGTATCAGGTAAATATCTGAACTTTCTATCCTGAATTCTGGGCTCAGAGAAAAAGGTCAGAGACAACTACAAAGGTGATTCATATTATTGGGTCCATTTTCAAAACAATGAGATCCTTTGGGAAAATCGCTTCAGTCTTTCTTTGTATCAGAGGTTTCTGATGGCCCTTTTGTTGGTAATCCATTCATGTCCACACCATTATTATCTGCTTTGCCATTATTTCTATCATTGGATTCCTGTACAGCTTTTTTAGGCCATATGCAACTAACAAAAGGAGAAATCAGAGGGTATATGTATGGTTCCAGGAGTTTTTTGTAGATCCTGAGCAGAACTGGAATGACCATACAAGGAATGCACACCTTTGTCCGAGACTCAAGCTCCTAAATGTGAGAGTGCAGGCAGGCAGCAAAGCGTGGAGGAAGGCAGGACGGTGAACGGTGCACTGGGCTCCGTGAGCGCTGCCTAGGCTGGACCCACCCCAGCCCGGCTCATCCACGACCACAAAGCTTCCTCTTGTCTTTTTCCTACAGCTAACATTATCCCTGAGCACCTAAACTGCCCTTATATTCCTGAGGAATATGGTGCTACCACTCTCCTGCTTAAGACTGATGGTGGATAAATGTCTCGGCCTGTTCAATACCAGTATTGCCTTTAAGGATCGAGTTTACTATGATAAGTGAACTGAGAAAGCTTTAAATTGCTTAGCTGTTCATCTGTGGTGACTAATCCTCTATATATGATTCCTAGGTGCCATAGTTTCTCTAACTCTAGGATCTCTGTATCTTCCATAGTGTAGATACGATGTCCTTTTTCTTAAATAATTACAATTTGAGCATATACGTAATGGCAGGATTGTTTATGCTACACAAAATATGTTTATTTCAAGTATTAAATAATCCCTGGGATTCCTGTGAGGTAAAAAGGAGAATCCAACTAAAATATTTCTTTTTCCAGGGGTCACAAGGCACAGCATACCGGAATTTGATGGAAATGATTGTACAAAGAAAGAATGAATTCCCTCCATTACCCACATTTATACTTAGAGTCAGACGAAGTCACCTGGTGGAAGATGCTCTGCGTCAGTTAAACCAAGTTGAAGTCACTGACCTTTGGAAAGCATTAGTGGTATAATAAAAAGTCTCACTGAACATTTTTTCTGCTGTGGAGGGAAACATTCATATAATGTAATAAAGGCTATCTTAATAGTCTGCATTTGCAACTATGGTTATCAGTCTTATAGTTTCCAAATTCCCCTCTTATCCTTCAGAGAACAGCAATGGGATATTTAATTATATGTTGGGTTATGAGTTAACTATTAGTTACTTATAGCTCAAAAATGCTGCATAATGAACCATCCCAAAGCTTAATGGCTTAAAATAACAATAATTTATTTTATAGATCTGCAGCTTAACTGCTATCAGCCATGAGGGGAAGAGTTAGGCTCTCAGAGAAAACAGAACCTGGAGGTTGGGGCTCAGATAGGAGAGGGATTTCCCAGTATGGGTCGCCAATAGAAAACAAACTATTTTATAGGCCAGATTTTCTAATTGTACATCTCCCTCTGCACCTATTTTTCTTTAAATCTTAACTGTGAGGCAATCAGTAGAAAATTATTCTCCCTACAGGAAATAACCAAGAGGTAAGAAAGTAAACTTCAAAACAGATCTTAAAAAAAAAAAAAAATTATATAGATAGATAGATAGATAGATAGATAGATAGATAGATAGATAGATAGTGCATGTGTGGGCTGGCCAATACAGGGATCTGAACCCTTGACCTCGGTGTTAAAAGACTGCACTCTAACCACCTATCAAAGTACAGATTCTGAACAAGACAAGGTTGTCAGGGCCCATTATGACTGAGTCCTGACCATGGCATAGGCACACTTGCTAGTGTAAATGAGCAGAAATTAGAAAATCAGAAGTAAGCTTAATTTGTTTTGGGGATATCCAGATGGGAATGTGAAGCAGGCTCTTAGACATGATGGTCTGTGACCAAGGAGTTGATTTCTTACCTAAGGGCTATGGGCAATCAGGTTTGGTGGTTCCTGCAATGGTCTCACACCCAGACTGGCTGGGTGGGCTATTTAGCAGAAGCCCTAATGAGGGTACAGGCAGGAGAAAACAAATAGTTGTTGACTGTAGCCAAGGTTGTGAAGTATGAATGCTTAGATGAAGATAGACAACGAGATAGAATAATCTGGGAATTTAGTGGCTCAGGGGTTTGATGCACATCAAAACTTGCTGCGGGACACTGGTCAGCATCATTGGTGAGTGCTAAGTCTTACTAGCGTCCCCTTCGCTTGGTACATACAGTGGTATAAAGGATCCATGCACTCACACTATACAGCAATCTGAGGATAAGCAGGTTTGTGGCTTCCACTGCTTAGCAGCAAATTAAGGGAGCTCAGATTGCAAGGAGGTAAGTGGTGTATGACTCTGGTAATTGTAGTGACCACAGGAATGGTCATTAGAGGTTTAAAACTTTCCCATAAAGATCAAAGCATTGTATTTTCAATCAGGACCCAGGACTGTCTTCTCTTCCCTTAGGTTGAATTTATTAAAGAGATTGGTCCTGAGTGTGGAGGCGTCAGATCAGAGTTCTTCCATTGTGTATTTGAAGAGATGACCAAGCCAGAATATGGAATGTTCATGTATCCTGAAAAGGGTTCCTACATGTGGTTTCCTGTCAATGTAAGTCTTTTATTTTTTAATTTTTTGGTTAAGTTTTGATATATGTATACACCCATGAAACTATCACCATAATAAAATAATGAACATATCCATCATTGCCAAAAGTTTCCTTACATCTCTTTCTTTTCTTTTTTTTTTTCTTACATCTCTTTCTAATCCCTCCCTCCTACAGAGCCCAGACAACCAATGATCTGCTTTTTGTCACTAAAGAGTAGCTTCGATTTCTGAGAATATTATATGAATAAAATCATAATATAGTCTTTTTTCATTCAGCATAATTTTGCTGAGATTCATTCATGTTGTGGCACATAGCCTTAGTTTATTCTCTTTTATTATGCAGCAGTATTCCATTGTATGGATATACTACAATTTCTTTACCTGCTCTCCTATTGGTGGATATTTTGGTTGTTTCCTAAATTTTGAGAAGCAGTAATCTAGAGTGTTTCAAATTAGGAGAGAAATTATTGACAGAATCCTAGAGATAACTGTTACTTCTAAAAATTAGATTCATTTTTTGTAATGATTATATTTTTGTTAATATCTTTGAACTATAAACATTTTCTTTTTCAAAGTTATAAAAAAAAAAACTTGTCTTCATTTCTCTATTAGTAACACGGACCAAACAGTTATAAAAGAATCATATATTGAGCTTCTATTTATTGGTCCTCTTTCCCATAAGCTTCCAAATTGTTCTTTCAAATGGCATTGTGGGTTTTGGAACCCATAAAGGACAGGAAAGAGGAGGAGAAAGATGAATAGGTGTGAAAAAATACTGAAAGGTGGTTTGTACTTTTTTGAAAATGATCAAACTTCCAAAAGATAGAAATGGAGGTTCCTATCTTTTACAGGCATGCCAGTAGCAGGATTTTTTATCAATCAACAAGCATTTATTGAATATTTCTTGAGGTTCCCATATGGTATTAAATATTGTGGGAAATTCAAATTAGTATACAACACCATCCCTTCCCTCTTGAAACGTTTTGTATATGTAGATGGAGTGATAACACTAACACACCAGAAACTTTACCAACTGGTTCTAAGTTACGGCTTGCTGACTTGACATGTAGTAGTTACTGAGAAGCATGGCAGGGTGGGGAAGGAAGTGCTGCTGTGGGATCAGAAGCCCAAAGTTTGAGTCTTGAGTGATGGTGGGTGTGTCATTTGGCCTGAGTTTTCAGTTTCCTCACCTATGGTGACATCATAATCTCTGCTGTATGTGCTTTACAAAGCTGTTGAGAAAACAAGATAAGGCATGTGAAAGTGTGAAAGCACCATGAAAACTTCAGGGCACTATATAAATTTAAGGGATTCCTTGTTACAACAGAAAGAAATCAATGGGGGACTGAAGTGATTGGAGAAAGTGTCCCAGAGAAGGCGAAGCCTGAGGTTGGTGGTAAAGGATAGTGATAGAGTTTGGGTATGTTGTCCCCCCCCAAAGCTCATGTCAAAATCTGATCCCGAATGTGGCAGTGCTGAGAGCTGTTTGGGTCATGGAGGGTGGATCCCTCATGAACAGATTAATACCCTCCTGGGGGGTGGGTAGTGAGTGCTCGCTCTATTCCCATGAGAGCTGGTTGTTTAAAGGACCCTGCCACTTCCCCTTTCTCTCTCTTGCTTCCTCTCACCATGTGGTCTTGCACCCACCAGCTGCCCTGCCACTTTTCACCATGACTAGAAGCAGCCTGAGGCCTGCACCAGATGCAGCTGTCCCAGAACTGTGAGCCAAATAAACCTCTGTTCTTTATAAATTACCTAGTTTCAGGTATTCTATTAAAGCAACACAAAAACGGACAACTACAGATAGAGATGAAAAGGACCAAAGAGATACAAGTGGGGTGTAGAGAGGAGAAAAGTAAACCTTACATCAATACTGGGAGACAAGTGGTTTATCCTCATTTTACAAATGAAGAAACTGAGGCTCAGAGAGATTAAATAAATTGCCCAAAGACATACAACTAGCAAGCCACCAAACCAGGATATGAATTCAGGATTGTCTGACCTCAAAGCCCTTACTCCTAAGCATTACGCTATACTGCTATATAGCTATAGTGCTGAATAGAAAACAGAGATTAAAAAAAAAAAAAATCTGACGTGTGTGCAGCTCAGTGAAGAGACAAAATCAGCCAGAACCAGAGCACATATTACAAATTATGGGAAAGAAGACTGAATAGATTAGGGGAGGTCATCTTTGGAGATTACTTGTATTTTTAACCCACTTAAAAAATTCAAATACATTTTTATAATGTATCCTCACAATTACTCTAAGGAGTAAATAGGGCAAGTAGATTAAGGCACAGAATATTATGTGAGTGGCCCAAGGTCATACACCTGCTAACAGCAAGACTGGGGCTGGAATTGAAATCTTAGGATTTTCAGTTTAGTGGCCTCTCAACTGGGCTGCAGTGATGGCCTGGACAGACAGAGCCAGTATTTTCTCTCATCCAGGACTACAGAGCATAGAGAAGTGACACTAACTTCATAAGGACTCTTTCCTTCTTCCCTTTCTTCCACCCCCTTGATGGTCTGAAGCACCAGTCACATTCTTGAACCACAGGCTTGCCCCTGTATGCACACCAGGCTATGAATGCATTGCTGGGGCGGGGGGGACACTCGTGACATGTATACAACGTGCCTGATGCCCACTGAAAGTGTACGGTGCCCCCTTCCTTTCTTGGCATCGTTTTTCTACATGAATTTTCAGGCAAAGACTATAAAATTAAATCATGAAAACCTTAATTTATAAGGCTAGCTGAGTGTATTTTTAATATTCCAGATATGCTGTTAATAAGAAAAAAATTAATTTATTTAATGTTCTGAACTGTTAATTTTATTGAAAATTATGGAAGAAATATAAATTGTATTATAACTTGTGTAAGAACTTTAAATTTTTATTTTCCTGAAGCCCATTGTGTTTCTAATTTGTGCCTTTTAGAAAATGGAACCAAAAATTTTTTTACTAATCTAATTATCCCTTTTTATTATTGACTACCTCTTTTGACAATCTGAACCCTTGACCTTGGTGTTATAACACTGCATTCTGTTGATTATTTATAATACTTTAGGGATTTCTTTTCTTCTTTTCTAGCCTAAATTTGAGAAGAAAAGATATTTCCTCTTTGGGATGCTGTGTGGGCTCTCCTTATTCAATTTAAATGTTGCCAACCTTCCTTTCCCACTGGCTCTGTATAAGAAACTTCTGGATCAAAAGCCATCATTGGAAGATTTAAAAGAACTCAGTCCTCTTTTGGGGAAGTAAGTAAATATAATTGCTTTTTTCAGGACTTTATCCAGGAAGTCTTAGTTGTTTAGGCATAAATAACATTACACATGAGAGACACACAGACAAGGTCTTTCATTAATTTCAATGATGTATGCCCTTTAGATGAATTTGAATTTTAGCATGACTTATAATTGAGTAAACCTTCAAAACTGGAGAAAAGCCGAATGCTCCTCTTATAATTAATTATTACTGTCATCATACATATAAATATATATGGCTATATAAGTGTATATATTTATAAATATATGGCTAATCAAAAAATGAAAATATGCTCAACCTCACTAGTAATTGAGGAAATAAAAATGAAAATGAGGGCCGGCCTGGTGGCGCACTGCTACTGTGCGCCGCTTGGGAGCGCAGCGGCGCTCCCGCCAAGGCTTTGGATCCCACATACAGACCGGCGGCTCACTGGCTGAGCGAGGTGCGGGCGCAACACCAAGGGTTGCGATCCCGTTGCCGGTCCCGGTCTGGTACAGGCGCGACACTGAGGGTTGCGATCCGTTGCCGGTCACGAAAAAAGACAAAAAAAAAAAAAAAAGAAAAAAAAAAATGAAAATGAGGTGTCATTTTTCTGCTTACAGACTGAAAACTGTTAAGTTTTTCTGTGGTGTTGGCAACAAATTGGGGGAAAAGACTCTTCTCATGTACTGTTAGTGGAAGAATACATTGGCTAGATTTACACTAGAGCAGGGTTTCTCAACCTTGGCAATATTGATATTTGGGGCAGTTTAATTCTTTGTTGTGGGAGGTTGTCCTGGGCAATGCAGCATGTTTAGCAGCATTTGGGTTCACTATCCACTAAATGCCAGTAGCAACCTCTTCCCAACTGTGACAAAGATGTCTCCTGACTGTCTCATTGTCCCCTGGAGGACAAAGTCATTCCTGGTTGAGAATCACTGGTCTAGGGGAAGGGGTTCTTTTTAAAATTTCCACAAAGATTCAGCAGTATTAATGTGGTAGTGGTGGTCCAACAAGTCAAACCGAGAGAGGTTGACTCTAGGAAGAGGGAGTGGGAAGATGGAGGAGAGGAAACTTACATTTTTTACATTTCTATATTATACACAATTTTTTCCACTGAACATTTATTACTTTTGAAGTTTTATAAGATCAACAAATATAATTTTGAAACCAAAATTTTCACCAGGAGCTTGCAAGAAGTTATAAATGATGGAGCTGATGACATTGGAGAAGAACTTTACATACACTTTTCTGTGAGTACCACTGAAAGCTAGATTATAGTTTAGCTTCAATCTGTTTTTTAAAAAACAATTTTATTATAGTATCTTAAATATGAAATCTATTTTTTAAAAGATATTTTACTTCTGTACTGCAAGATTTTTCCCCCACCTGCTTCTCATTTGATACCTTATATTATATGCTGTAAATAAAGTGAAGATACAGTGATTATTCAACTAATGTGGATAATGTAAACAACTAAACAGAATAATTCATGCTTAAAAACAATGTACAACATGTACTAGGGTAGGTTTTTTATTTTATATGTATTTAAAAAGCTGAATGATATAAATATTTAGTTCCTGGTTATTTTCAGGACCGTAGGGAAAAATGTACTGGCAATATAGTATTATGAGTGGTTGATTATTCAGACTTACTTTCATGTTTGGTACCTGAATATGTTTTGGTTACAGATACATTGGGACCACAATGATGTTGATTTAATTCCAAATGGGATCTCTACACCTGTGGACCAAACCAACAAGTAAGTTTTGAGACCTAGAATTTCTACCTTGAATATAAATAAAATGTTTGTCTGACTATACTTTAAAAATGTAGTTTAGCTTCTCAGATGATCATTTTAGTTTCTTAATTGTTAGAAAGACAAAAAGGTTATAGTGTAAGAGAAGAGGAGAAAGGATTCAGGATTAAATATTTCCTTTGCAGCACTTTCCACTATTTATTCATTTAACAAATATTTTTGAGCCCCTATTCTGTGCCATACTCTATTCTATGTGCTAGTACAGCAGCAAAAAAGGCAAAATCTGGAGCTTAAATTCCAGTGGGGCAGAATGACAATACACAAATAAGTTATTATGTAGTACAATGTCAGATAAGGATGAGCACTCTGAAGAAAATTAAAACCAACTAAAAGTCTAGGGAGTTATAGGTAGTGGTTATGCTGGAGCCAGTTTGTGAGAGCTGATTGTTAAATTTTCAAAAATGTTGAGAGTTTAATTATTAAAATGTTAATAGCTTTGAAATAAGCTATGGTGGGAATATTTACACCACAGAAATAGGCAATACTACAAATGAGGGCCCCTCCCGTTCCCTCCTTTTCAGAGAGCTGGTTGTTAAACTATACTAGCACTCTACTGGTTACAGGGCAAGGCAGACGGGAGTTGATCTAGATAGGCTAGTCCACAAAGACTGCTCAAAGGGTGCGAGACAGTGATGTCTTTGGTGGAATGCCTCCAGTAGCAACCCTGCCATCAGGAAATTCATCATGTAGTGGAAATTGCACCCTGTAGTACAAGACAGACCTTGCAGAAAGAATTTCCACATAGTGACATGTGTTGTGAGAGGAGAGGGGGAGAGGAACAGAAGGATCGACCCTGAGAAAGTCTTGTTCGAACTGAAATCTGATGAATGATAGTAGCTGCCAGGTAAAGGGGAAACACTGCATGCTGTGGCCTCACTACAAAAGACAGACAGCAAGGCAGGTAAACTGAAGGCCTGCACAGCCAGGATGAAAATGCAAACGGGGAGAGCTGCTGAGTCTGGCGAGCATAAGATTATGGTGGGGATTTGGGATCCCTGGAGGTATGGAATTGACCTAACAGCAATAGGAAACCTTTAAAAGGTTTTAAGAAGGAGAATGACATACTCAGATTAGTGTTTTAAAAAAATCCTCCTGACTGGACTGAGGAAAATGAGAGCAAAATAAAATCTTAATCCTTCTGCTGATATTCTCTAAATTTCCTCTTTCTAGCTGGCTAGGTTTTTATATCCCTTTGGTATACAGAATTATGTGCTGTGCCAAGTGGTTGATTTTTTTTTTTTTTCCCTCGGTAGAAATGGGGAAAAGGACAAAGTAGAAAATATTTTAGTCATTGGTATGGCATGTCATTGGACTTTTTTTTATTTTTTTGCTTCCCTCAAGGAAAGACTATGTTTCTAAATGTGTTGATTACATTTTCAACATCTCCATAAAGGCAGTCTATGAGGAATTTCAGAGGGGATTTTTTAGAGTCTGTGACAAGGAGATAATTAGACTTTTCCAGCCTGAAGAACTAATGACAGCAATAAATGGAGATACTGATTATGACTGGAAACGATTTGAAATGGTAGGTGATACCTAAAGAGCCCCCCATTTTTACAAACAACTTTTACATATATTCTGCTCTAAAACCCATTTTTCTCTATCCTTCTCTTAAGAATTCACACTATGAGCAAGGATACCACAAATCACATCCTACTATACGAATGTTTTGGAAGGCTTTCCATAAACTAACTTTAGATGAAAAGAGAAAATTCCTCCGTAAGTACTTCAGTAATAAATAGATCTATAATTACATATCTACTAAAAAGAAAAACATCTTGTTTGTAATGAAGTCATTCTTACTGGTGGGTCACACATGTTAACAACAGAGCAAGGATTAGAACTCAGATTCCCTGCCTTCTAGACTAACATTCTTTCTCACACAAGCCTGTTTCCCCTTAAAAACTAACAGAGATATTGCTATTGTACTGTTTTCTACAATGTCTCTAATCCCACTTCCAGCTTTCAGATTGTGACCTCTTTCCTTACTCCAGATGACTCTTAAGCCTTTTATCTCATGTCACTATCTTCATTTAATTATCTAAGTCCTATGATATTAGAGCAATGTCAACTGTCTGTTTTATATTAATCGCAATGACAGCTGATGACAACAGTAGTAACAGCAGCAACATTTCCTGTGTGCTTTACTCCGTCAGGTACTGTCCCGATCGCTTTACATCTATTACCTCCTTTTATCCCAATAACAATCTTATGAGGTAGGTACTATTTTTTTCCCCCATTTTAGACATGAGGAAAAAGAGGCTTTGGGCATTTAGTAGTTTGCCCACGTTCAGACAGTTGATAAGTGTGAGAACCAGTTTGAACCCAATAGGCAACTCCAAAGCCCAGGCTCTTGACCACTAAGCTCTGTGGCATCAGGATATAAGAACTTCTCTTAGTGAGAACCTAAGGTTTCTCTAGGGCAGACTTAATTACTTATTCTCTAACATTCTCATCCCATTTTTCAGCCTTCCTAAGATACACCTTTCTTCTTGCTATTTTTGTTGCTACAGAGGATATTGGAGGACAGTTCTAACTTCTCTAAAAATCCAACCTATTTCTCTGCAAGTCCAAACTACCTTTCTAATCTGTTTTAGTGAGAAACTTTTGCCTCAGTGCAGTGATTCAACTGTCTGTACATGCAGTGAGTTCACTTACATCTTCCCACCTCTGGTTTTTTCTTGGGCTCCTCTCCCGGACAATCAGGTAGTTGTGACCTCTGTGAAGTCCCCCTGACCACCCCAGCCTGGTCCATTAGTATCGTAACTTCATAATTCCCAGCTGAGCTAAATTAAAGTTCCTTATATATTGCTACTACTTTTCATGTATGTAATTCCCCCCAACTAGACCATGAACTCATAGAAAACAAGGTCCAAATGTCATGATTTTTCTATGTTCAACACAGCCCTGGGTATAGTTTTCTCTGCACAAGGGCATTCAATAAATATTTATTCAATGAAGTGACCAATTTCTTCCTTTTCATTTTAAGTTTTAGTTTATGACAAATCTTAACCACATTTTATTCCTTTCTAGTTTTTCTTACAGGACATGATAGACTGCACGTAAGAGGCTTACAGGAAATGGGAATAGTATTTCGCTGTCCAGAAACTTTCAGTGAAAGAGATTGCCCAAGATCGGTGACATGTCATAATATTCTGGACCTCCCTAAATATTCTACAATGGAAAGAATGGAGGAAGCACTTCAAATAGCCATCAACAACAACAGAGGGTTTGTCTCACCCGTGCTCCCACTGTAATAACCAACCACCTCTGAGGGCTTCAGGGAGGCCTCAGATGCTCAGGCCTTCTCAGCCTTGGATTCTTCTGTTCTTCCTTACATCTAATTAGTACAAGGTGTTGACGGGTTTCAGGCTGGCCAGTTAGCTCAGTTGGTTGGAGCGCCACCTTGCAACAACAAGGTCAATGGTTCAGGTCCCTGCACCAGCCAGCCACCAAAAGCCAAAAGCCAAAAAAAAAAAATCCCCAAAAAACAAAGGGGTTGATTGATTTCAGTTAGAATTAGTTTGCATGGAGGGTAGGGGGAAATGATGGTCAAAGGGAGAATAGGGGTTGTTTTCTTTTTGAGTTCAATTGCACAGCATTAACTAATATAGTTAATAATAGAGTATTGTACATTTCGAAATTGCTAACAGAGTCAATTTCAAAAGTTCTCACCACAAAACATGTTAAGTATTTGAGGCGATGGATATGTTAACTAGCTTGATTTAATTATTCCACATTTTAAAAAATGACTCCATGTTATATTGAAAAATTATAGTATCACTTTGTACCCCATAAATTTATACAGTTATAAATTGTCAATTTACAATTTATAAAAAAGGATTAGTTGACAAATGTTGGGATAAACAATAAAGTGATGAATGAAGAATAATTCATGATATGAAATTATGCAAAAAACCATTTCCTATATCCCTAACTTTGCTATTAGAATGTTTGCTTGTACTGAGTTATTTCCTGAATAATAATCATTTAAAAATGAACTGAATATTAAAAGCTGATGGATATTTTAAAAAATATTATTGTACCTCTAATAAACACTGTCTGCAAGTATGAAAGACATACTAAAGTTTGACAAAATAAACAAAACAAACTAATTTCAACATGTTTTTGAGACATGTATTTTATATTTGGGAATGTGTCTACAGTCTTGATTTTAGCAAACTGCTGAATACTTTATTTGAAAAATCTAAATGTTAAGGGATTCATTAATTCACTGAATAATTATACTCAAGGCTGTGTTCCAAGAACCACTCTAAATGCAGATATTATTATTCTCATTAAAAACTGAGACCAACCAGTAACTCCTGTCTAGTTGTGGTTGGGGAAATGTGAAGAGGATGAATTATGTTTCAGTATCATGGCTATGGAGTGAATTAATGAAGAGATGTAACTATGATGGAAAATGGCCAATGAATTTTATGGACCAGTTCTATCTAGTATTAAATTTTAAACTCTGTACATTTGAAATGATTCCAAACACATAGTTTGCTTTGTGAGTGACACACTCTTATGTTTTGCTGTGTTAACTCTCCCTCCCTTCAGTAATGTGACGTCACACCTTATCAGGACCCCCCTGCCCCCCGCCCCTCGTGTGAGTAACTGACCTCAACTACTGGATTCCAAAATATATATGAACCCAAGAGTTTGATAGACACTTTGAGAGCTTGGGCCGTGGTGGGCTACACTCTGTAGCCTGACAGCTCAGGCTGCCACAGGGCCATCCAACTAGCCTTCAAGCTAATCTCTGAAGCCTTACCCACCAACATCAAAACCAACCCTGTAGCTTGGCGGGATCATCACGATCTCCACTGCGTTGGATACCATTTATCCTGGGAAACCCGCTCTTATAAAGGCAAACTTCAATCTTTAGTTAGACTTTACTTTCTACAGAAGCCAGCTTTCATCATAACTGAGCAACTGGAGTTTAATAATTGGACCTAAGTTGGAACTCATTCACTATGTAGTGTATGTACCTCGTCTATCAAGTATATGCACTGTGAGATTTGTTCTCATTATTCTCCCCCTCTTTAGGCACTGAAAAGAAAACTCTTTGTATGGCAATAAACTGTGTGGCTCATTAAATTATACCTTGATCATCTCTCTATTTTACCCACACAAAACAAACTGTAAGCTGTTCTGTAAATGCCTGCTCTCATCCCAAACCATTTGCAGAAGTCTGTGTTAGTGGTACTTTGGAAAATGAAAGACTACGGGGTGAAGTTCATGCTGCGTTGCTGATGTGGAAAGACGGCAGGAATCACCTGAGGACAGACAAACAACAGATACAGAAGTCAACAAAGACACTAGAATGAGAGGTGGCCAGGAGAAATCTAATCTCCTAGAGAATCCTCGGAGCTATTTTTGACCTGTTTGTTTTCCACAATAAATGGAATGAAGGCTCAGATTTATTCTATTTGAATTTTAAATAAAAAGATAATCCCTAAATCATAGGGATCTGACTTTTGGGTTGTGTTCTTCAGGCCTTCCACCACCAACATTACTTTTTCAAATGCAAATGAATGAATTGTACTAAAAAGTTAAGGAAGAAATAATACCAAACTTTCCACATTCTTTCAGGAAACAGGAAGAAGGAATACTTCTCAATTAGTTCTATGACACCAGCATTACCCTAATACCAAAACCAGACAAAGACATTACAAGAAAAGAAACCTACAAATACCTTTATAAATAGACACAAAAATCCTTTACAGAAGTTTAATGTATCAAACATACCCAAGAAAATATATAAAGGATAATCCCTCATGACCAAGTATGGTTTAGCCCAAAAATGCATTTGAAAATCAATTACATTTCACCATATTAATAGGAAAGAAAAACAATATAATTACTTCAGTACAGGCAGGAAAGAAATTTGACAAAATTCAACACTTACTCAAACATGATAAATACTCTTAGCAAATTAGGACTAGAGGGAACTTCCTCAACCTGATAAAGCCTACTTACAGTTAACCTCATGCTTAGTGATGAAAGACAATGCTTTCCTGTTAAAATTGGGAACAAGGCAAGAACGTCACTCGTCACTTCTATTCAACATTGTACTAGAGGTACTAGTCCATACAGTAGGGCAAAGAAAAAAAAGAAAAGGCATACAGATTGGAAAGGAAGGAGTAAAACTGCTTTATTTGTAGGCATACATCTACATAGAAAATCCTAAGGGATCCACAAAAAACTACTAGAACTACTAAGTAAGTATAGCATGGTCTCAGGATTCAAGGTCTACGTATAAAAATTAATTGTTATTTCAGTATACTCATAACAATCATAAACTGAAACTTGAAAAAGTACCATTTACAATATAAAAAAAATACTTTAAGGATAAATTTAACAAAATATGTTTGACTGTATACTGAAAAATATAAATATTGCTGAAAGAAATTAAAGCTTTAAATGAATAGAAAGAAAGATCATGCTCATGTCAGTTCTTCCCAAGTTGATCTAACTTAATGCAATCTCAATCAAAATCCTATCAGTTTTGTAGAAATTGATAAACTCATCCTAAAAAGTATACAGAAGTGCAAAGGACCTAGAATAGCCAAACAACACTGAAAAATGACAGTGTTGGAGCACTTGTATGAACTGATTTTGAGAATTTTTTTTTTTTTTTTTTGGTGGCTGGCTGGTACAGGGATGTGAACCCTGATCTTGGTGTTATTAGGCTATGCTTTAACCAACTGAGCTTACTGGCCAGCCCCAAGACTTACTTTGAATCTATAGTAAATAATACAGTGTGGTATTGTAGTAAAAATAGACATATGGGTCAATGGAACAAAATTAAAAATCCAGAAATAAATACAACCATTTATGGCAACCTGAGTTTTGACAAAGACATCAAGGCAATTCAATTGGGATAGGCAATCTGGAGCAACTAGAAATCCATGAGGAAAAAAAATGAACCTCTATCTACCCTTACCTCACACTATTAAGAAAAATTCATTTGAAAAATAACAAAGGCCTAAAACTATAAAACTGCTAGAAGATAACACAAGAAGATCTTATAATTTTGTATTTAGCAAAGATTTAATAGGACAAAAAAGGCATAACTATGTAAAAGGAAAATAAGGATAAATTGCATCAAAATTTAATATTTTGGCTCTTCAAAAGACACTTTTAATAAAATGAAAAGGCAAGCCACAGACTGGGAGATAATATTTCAAAACACAGGACATGGTATAATGGACATGGTATAAAATATGTAAAGAACTCTAATATAATACATAAAGAACTCTTAGATAATAAGTCAAGCCATCAAATTAATAAATAGGCAAAAGATCTGAATAGACACTTCACCAAGAAGAACTAGAGATAGCAAATAAGCACACGAAACATCATTAGTTATTAGGGAAATGCAAATTAAAACCATGACAATTGCTAAAGTTAAAAAGACTGGCAATACCAACTGCTGGCAAAGATACAGTGACGGGAACTCTCATAAATTGCTGAAGGGAATGCAAAATGGTAAAGCACTTTAGAAAAAGTTTGGCAGTTTCTTATAAAGATATTCCTACACTTAGCACAGGACAGCAATTCCACTTCCAGGTATTCATCCCAAAGAAATGAAAACATTTGTCTGCTGAAAGACTTGTGCACAAATACTCATAGCAGCTCTATTCATTGTAGCTAAAAACTGGACAGGACTGAGTCGAAGGGTGAATGGATAAATCAATTGTGGTATATCCATATAATAGACTACCACTCAGCAAAACAAAGAGGGAACTACTGATGAAACACCACTGGATGCATGTGAAAGCATTATGCTAAGTGAAAAAAGCCAGACACCAAAGACCAGTTAGGTATGATTCCATTTGTATGAAATTCTAGAAAAGGCCAAACTATGCTAACAGGAAGCAGATCATTGCCAGGCACCAAGGTAGGGGCAGGGGGGTACCGACTGCATAGCTCTCCTGTTTCATCGCGGTCTTGTGGCTTCAGCCTGCAAAAGAGAGCTTAGCAAACTTTTAGCTTCTCTATCACTGAATTTTCAGGAAACTCTTCAAGTCAGCCCGTGTCAGGGTGCCTCCTAGTGGAACTGCAGTGTTTCCTCGAAAGCCATTCCATCTGGGAGTTCAGGCGGCCGTTACCCACCCGGGGGCACATTTCCAGTCCTCCCGCCCATCTTACCACACGCCACCGGCCTGTTGACCGCCTCCCAAGCCACTCTCGAATCCTTCCAGTTTCCCTTTCCTTTTCGATTGCACCCCTTTAAAGAAAATTCAGTTTCGTTTCCCACGAGAACTGCCGGCCCCGCCCCCAAACATCACGTGAGGAGCCCGGGATCTAGGCGGCGGCGCAGGAGCGGCAGTCGAGTTTTCTCGACGCCGCCGCGCGGGTCCTAGTCCGCGTCTGTCTCTGGTCTTCCCTCGCGGCTGAGGAGCCCGGCAGAACCGCGATGGAGCGGAGGCCGCCGAGGAGGTCTCGGGGTCGCGGACGCTCGGGCCCCGCGCCCCAGGCC